TTCTCAAAGCACCTAAGACGGATATCGTGATTCTAGCCGGATACCTAAACGCACTCATTGGCCGCCTGTTACCCGATGAGACCCATTTTTCAAAATGTTGTTTGGCAGATTTGAAGTTTGTATGTCGATTGAAAAAAAGTTCAGTTGCCTCGGTGGGATTCGAACCCACGCATGGATACCGCCTGCGCTTTGTACGCGCACGCTCTACCAGCTGCGCTACGAGGCCTCACGGATAGAACTGATCTTTTCACATTCGAATTTACCCACCTAACTTACAGAGGTTTGTAGCATCCCATTTTAGTGACAATCATTTTGTTAATAGTTGTCGAGCAGATAATTGATATAGAGCTCTTCGTGCATGCTCAGAAAACAGCCAGTTCCCCGTTAGCAAGAACTTTAGACACCCAAAGAGTCACCTCGCCACTTGGCGTCACCCCTCTTCGGCACAGATGTGGACTCTGATTGATCATATAGCTACTGGCCATAGATGGAGAGGTTGTGTGAAAGACCGCCGTTCGTATTGGTCTACCTACTTAGACTCTGACCACGCACTGGTTTGTGCCAAGTTGTCTATGCGATTTTGTTGCCTGCAAAAAGTTGAGATGCAAACAGTTAGACGTTGCTAATCATTCCGACCGGATCATGCTGGTCGACCATCCAAGCGAGTTGGTCGCAATGCTAACTAGTGCCCCACCAAGGAGCGTAGATCAACACTGGACAATCATTCAAAACGTGCAATGCAATCAGCTTGATTATACATTTGTAGCATGACATGTCGAGCTGTAAAATACTGGGTCTCTTCTAACTCTCTCTCTCTCTCTCTCTGAATTCTGGATGCGCGTCGGGAAATCCCGGCAGACAGTTAGTACAATGGGCAGCACCTCTTTCTCTGAGGAGTATGAACTCACGAAGAGCTTGAGAGACGATCGAGAAGCCTGGTTAGCGCTTTTTAAAGGGAAAGGAGTTGAGTGGGAGTGAAGGAGAGATATCTGGAGCTCAAGAGAAAGCCGATGACCCTGAGTCCAGGAACTAGGTGTGTCGAATCACATGAGTCTCTAATCACGTTTGTGTAACTGGAACATACTGGTATTCATCTCAAAAAACGCCGACGCCGGTTCACGGATTCCCGGTAGTTTTAATCGTCTTAATACACACAAACGTAGCTAGAAAGAGAGAAAGAGAGAGCTAGTTCAGACAACACAATCAGCCAAATAAGATAAAGTGTTGCACTTTTTTCATTTCTGCTTTCTTTTCAGGAAAAGGGAGGCGGTCAGTGAAAGGGTTACTATACAACACACGTTATGGAGAAAGTCAGGAGGCGATGGTGGTGGGGTTCGAACACGAGTCCTACAGGGTGATAATTTGGTGATCACGGGACCACCATCGTCCATTTAGGTAAAAATCGAGCAGTGATTAAGAAAGCGTTGCACTGGTTCCAAAAATGTTTATATAAAACCAGCAAAATGCATCTCAATCGGTAGTACTTGAAAACGGAACTAGGGAACCAGCGAGGAAAGCGGTAGGGTTTGGAATCCGGCGGTGAAATAAGGCTGTAGCACGGAGAAGACACCAGTATGCTTACTTTTATGTGAGATCCAACTTTCCCGATGTTCCACGCGAACTTTTTCCTTTTCAAAACGTTTTCGATCCAGCTCCGTCCATAGAGTATAATATGCAGCCTTTCGGGGAAGAAATAAACGTTGCGCGATTAGATATTCATCAGTGGTATCCCACGATTCAATGTTGAACAAATAACTTTCGAATGTTGTCAGAGAACAAAATTCTTGCGCCAGATAATACGAAATATGTTCTAGTGCCAGCTTGTGAAGAAGGCCATTTCACAGGCACTAACGATGTCACCTCGGCTGGTGACGATGAGGCGTTGGCAAACAAATTGCCGAACTCGGGCGGATTGGCGAAATTCAATGCAGTTCACCGGAACTAAGAGAACCGAAATTTGAACGGTTTGTCAACGATTTAGAAATTCTGCGTTCGCTTTTGTTCTTTGAATCCACCCGAAGAAATGACGTTTTAAGCACAACGGCGATGGGGTTTGCATCCCAAGTCCGATTAGAGGGACTAAATTGGCAGGATTGTGGAAAAACATCACTAATTGATTGACGTAAAAACAAACAGTAGCGTTCCTGAAGACCAAATCACATCGGACGCACATGTATTATTCATAGTCCTACCCACAGCGTTGCTCCAGGATGGATTTAAATTAGTGCCTTGGACAGTCAAGTGTGCGTTTACGGCTCCCTTATGGGAGCACGGATAGAATAGAAAGGGACGTTAGTGACAGAAATTATCTACGATGAAATAGAGATGGCTAAATACAAAGAGGTTCTGATGAGTCAAATCAATTCAAGTCAAGAGTGCACTTTATTCGTCCAATGTGCACAGAATTTTCAGTGAAAAGTATGTTATCACATTTGCTTTGGTATACACGCCAGTAAAAATGAGTTCAAAGACATGACAAATAGTTGCTTAGATGATGATAAAATGAAGAAAACTCTCAGCGTGAAAATCCACACTAGACTGTGCATGAGTTTGTTTGATATTCGTTCCCTGGAAACGGACAACTGTGAAAGGTACGGTACAACGGAGCTGTGAAAAGCAGTGGTACAAATATACAAAGGTTTAAATTTATTACCGGGTGACAGAAGTTGATTTGGAACGAGATAGGGCTGTGCGTAAGGGGATGTGATGCATCGGACAAGGGAGAGTCACACAGACGATCACACGCTCTAAGGTGTTGATTGACAATTGAATCAACCATCACCTTATAAGACACAGCTCCGTAGCTAGAGTGGCTTTTTCACAGAGCGTCTCATTAATATGAAATCTTTAGACAGCAGACCGGGGAAAGATAATGGGAGAGCAGTAGATCCAATGGCATAAAAGGTACGAGAAATGAAATTAAGAAACGATGTACAAAGGGCACTCTCAGATGCCGAAAGCGTGAAACATAAGAGGTCAACTTTCTGACTTTGAGAAATGTTTGTTCTACGTGATAGAACTATTTGTGGTCCGCAGACAGGAAACATCCAAGATAGTTGAGGAGTGAAACGGAAGCTGAACAACTACTACGAAATCCTGCACGAGAACTGCGCGTTCGTGGAATAGAATACACCAGATGCAACAAAGTGAGAAATAATTATAATCGGTTCATGTCTGACAAAATAAGCTACAGCCACTTACTGCCTGTGGTTTGTGGGACATTAAACAGCTCAGTCACAAGATTCGAACGAGCTCCGTATTTGTTTGAGTGATGCAGTTCTATCACATCACGTGATTAATCAGTCACTCAGTTGTTCATGACTCATAACAGCGGCAATGGTGTCAACCAATACCGGCCACATTGAATACACCAACCGGTTCCAAGTAGTAACAAGGAAAACGGTCAGGTTCGAAAGTGGTCGACACGACTGTTTGGTTCAAACTGCAGTAAAAATGTACATGATAGTTCTGTGAGGAAGTATTTATGCTTAAGACCGTCGTCGAATGTGATCGGATATGATTTTCCACGCACCTCGAATTTCAGATCTAACCGGAAGATCGAAAAGCGTGAGTTCAACCGGGAAAGATACATTTCCGGTGAGAATGCAAACATGTCCGCGTGTTGTACATTGAAAACCTGTGAGTTTCGGGTTTTTCAATTTATCACTGTAAACATGAGCTCTAGAAGGCTATCACAGAGTGATAGTAACGGCATTGGAAACGATCAACTCTAATCAAGCATACAGTCATTGATTATGTTACGTTCCCGGACCGCACAGAGCGAGAGGAAGAACTAAGACCGGCTGGGCGTCGGATCCCTGCATGTTCGAATGAATGAGTCAAGCACTAAACCACATGACAAGAACGACAATCATAACATCATAAGAGGTCAAGGTCATTGACACTGTGTTCACCTGCTGATCAGTAGTACCCTTAACAGATTAGATTAGAATTAGGTCGAACATGACTGAAAACCCGAAACAATAAGCATTCGTCTGAAATCCGGATTTAGACCAACTACAGGCTCCGATGATTGTCAAGATGAATCCGGGAAACGAGTAGGTGTGACTTTACACAGCAATAACCCGAAGTTGGATTCCCGGTGCATAAGGTTATATACATTCTCACGACCACAGAAATCGAGGTGGGCAAAAAAACGGCAGCTTTGTTCGACCGCATTAAACCGTAAACATAAGTGTCAGCCTTCACTGTTTTCAGACTCACCGCGAACAGGCAAAACGCTAGGAGTTGTTCAATCTAGGCGTTGTTGACGAGATTATAGAGAGAGCTATTCAGGAATGACTTAAACAATACGTGCACCTCGGTGTTTGCGTTTCTATTGAGTTACAACTTGAAATCCTTCAATCCACCAATGGTGGCTCGTTCTGATCAATACATGTGCAGTCAGATCAGAGGCAGAGAGCAAATTAGAACAGTTTGTCAAGCGGAACGTTTCAGATAAAGCCGGCCAGAGCCGGAAAGCGTGAGAATTCTTTCAGGTGTGGAAGATGAGGGGCACAATGAGAACAAAACAACATTTCACACAAAAAAAAGTAAATCCTCAAACTAGAAATGATGCGATAAGCCATCAACTGAAACCGAAGAGTAAGGTAAAAACAAAATTGTTGGGACGAAGATCATTGCTATTCGTCTGGAGATAAATCGGGCTGCA